ACTCTCTTTAGTTGTTTTATTTCCAGTTTGCATTTATGATTTTTATAATGCATGCGATATACGAACCGGAACGTAAACAGTTTACTAATCAGGTGTGAAGAACTTTCATGATTAGCAATGTACGCGGCACAGTTTAATGCGATGTAGCGTGATGTTGAAATACCCAAGCGACGCGGTTTGGGAAATTTTACCTTAAAATTTTTATTTGCAGACGATCGCCATGGCGAAATTTACGACAAACGGTGTATATAGTTCGTATAATGTGATCGTCCGGGTTTTTCATTTACTATGAAACGGTGTATGTGTTTGGCTTTTTGCTCTTATTTTGTCGTCTACTGAGCCCTGGGCGCACCTGGGCGCAACTGTAATATTTTCATGTCATTCCTTGTAATTTCTAGACTGGGTAGGGAATTAGCAAGTTCTTCTCGCATTGCATGGATTATCAGTTCATTCCTGGTTCGTTCAGTTGCAGCACGAGTAAATTTGAATATATCCCAGCCGTAACCAAGTTATAGAAGGATCATTTCTAACAATGCAGACCTGAAAATACATCACTGCACTTTTAATTTTCAATTTATGTGGAATGCAGAACTTGCTTCACTATTTTTAAGACAGGACACGAACAATAACCCAACAAGTTTAGTATCCGTGGTGTTTTTCTATCATGGATATTCGTACTGCATAAATTATCGATATTGCATGTAAGTCAACAAACCACATGAATAATTTGATATTGTTGATTGCAGCAGCCTAGAGAAATATACCAAATGCAGAGGAACCGGTACTGCCAAAAGAATGTCATCAAATCTCTTCCTCCGTTTGAGGATAATGCCCAGAGGAACGCTTTATTCTACCCACCCGCCAGCCCCATAGCTTTTAAATGACTGCCGCTTTTAAATTGCACGGTGGCCGAATTTTTTTCCCATAACTTAAATTGATCGTTTTCACGTGACGTCATCAAATTCCAAAATCCAAAACTTAAGAGCCGAAACTGCAAAATGCTCAGCAGTGATAACTAGCCTTAATAACGGGGTTTTTAACTTCGTAAATTTCAA